ATTTTGGCAAAATGCTCAGTCTAGTTAGGTGATGTATGCCAAAGCCATTACTTGTGTCTATGATTTTTCTCTGTTTTACACACTATTTGTGCATGCATATTTTTACACCTGCTTGGTAGTTTCTTGGGATAAATTTCTTAATGCAGAAGAGGAATTTAAATTGTTCTTTCAATCAGCTAAGTAATATAGAGAGTAACAGTAAGTCGATATTTTGAAGGGGTCATTTGGATGTATAGATGAGATAGGATAATAGGCTGGGTTTTTGAATTTTAAAAGGAAGATAAAAATGGTCCTGGATATTGAATTGTCTTAAAATATTATAAACAACATGTATATTTAAAATTTATACTTTCTTTTTTTTAATGGCAAGCTTTTCTAGCACATGAGTGTCTGGGTTTTTAAACTTTTAAAAATAGTTAGTTGGTATGTATATATCGAAGCAGAGGACTGAGTAACCCTTCTGGATTACATGACCCCTTTTGTGCAGTCACTGGCCAAAAGGGCCAAGCACTGTGGTGACCAGGCCTGACTGACTGGTCTACTCCCTGTGCCAGCAGTGGCTCCCAGCATTAGGACTTCACAGTGCCACCAGACACACACAAAAGGTAGAGTGGTACTGAGAACTAAAGAGCAGAAATACGCCGCAGTACCAAACACTTCCTTCCTTCCCCTTGTTTTTGTACTTCCTTTGGGTTGTGGTCAGACCTGGGTTCTTATTCAGCTACTGGCTGTAAGACCTTGGGGATATTATCTGCATTTTAAAGCCTCTTGTAAAATGTAAAATAGTAATACATGTTTTTTTAAAAGACAGGATGAAGAAATATGTAAAATGCTAAGTATTGTGTTTTTCACAAAGTAAGCTTTCAGTAAATGTTCATGAATTTTATTTTTAGCTACTTTTTTTTCATTAAATATATTGGTACATTTTAGTTATACAGTACAGTTACATTCATCCTTGGGATCTGTACCTTTACATGATGTATCTTGGTTCTTCTTTACTTTTCTACTACTTTTCTCTTGATTTTTCACTGATGGATTTTGCCTTCAACTTCTCTTGTACAGATTCAATTTTGGTCAAGTGTTTAAAAGATATTTATTGATAGAAAACATAATTTATTTCAATAACCCAAGACATCCAATTATTGAAGCTACTCTTAGTAATGACAAATTATTTTAGAACATTCAAATATATTATTCTAGGATATTTATTTCCCAATTTTATATTTGATGTGCTTCAGCCATGTTTATCTTCATAGACTTGATTCTTGGTGTAGGTTGTAGTGGAGGTCTATAATTCAGGCATTGCCATGGATGATTACTGATAAAAGTAAGCTTCCATTTTTGTGCTACTGTGCTAAATGATTTATTTACACAACTGTTAATATTAACAATTTTATCTTCTTATGTAGGCAGTATTGTAGATAAGTAAGATGAAGCTCAATTAGGTAATGAGTATAAAGGTTAGAGAACAAGGTCTTTTGAGTAGGTACTGAGTTCTAAGCTTTGCTCTACTTCCTATTCTGTGATCTTGGGTAGGCTTTTCTAGTCCTCAGTTTCCTTATTTATAGATGGGGAATTATGTATCTTCTAATGTATATTAATCACATTGTGTAAAATGGTGCATAATAAATGCATGGAATTTTCTATTTTATTGCCTGAGAGCTTTTTACTTTGTATAGTAGAGGGGATATTTAGAGGCTGTTACTTTCAGTGACTGGTGTACCATTACCACTGAATAGCAGAAAATGTCTGAAGTGGCTTTTTTTCTAAAAAAAAAAAAATTGAATTTATTGCATTTCAATATTGTTCTTATTTGTATTTATTCATATACCATCTTTCCTGAGTTAATACCTCATCAATGCCTTGCTATATTTTAAACGTGTCAGTATAATTTTTTATAGTGTAGTTAAAAAATTTTTTTTCAGTACTCAATCCGCCCTTTTTTGTTTTTATTTTAAGATAAGATCTCTCTTAAGTTCCTACATTGCCCAGACTGGGCTCAAACTTGTGATCTTCCTGCCTCAGCCTCCTAGATTGCTGGAGTTACAGGTACACTGTAATTTACTGATCTTTTGAAACCTGGATTATTATTATTATTATTTTTCTTTTTGGCTGTGCTGGGAACTGAATGCTGCAAGGAATTGTGTGTTAGGCAAGTATTCTACCCCTGAGCTATACCCTATTCTGGTCTTTATTTAGAAGCTCAGTAAACTATATAAATGACATGAAGAATATTTGGAATATTTATTTTGTGAGTATTTGAGTGCTCAGTTATTTAAACTTATTAATTATTTTGGCAATAGCAGTAACCAGTGGTATGCGCTAGGAAAGTAATTTTGTAGGGTTCTGTGGGGCCTATATCTTGAAAGTAAATATGATCAAAACAGGCATGTTTTAAACAATTTGTTTTTATATTGATAATAAAGTTTTCATTCTATCTCTTTTCACATTGCTACTGGATAATTTAGACTTTAAAAGCATTCGGAAGCACTTTAGAGACTGAAAGAAGGGGAAAATATGGATTAAAAAATCTTATAAAATTGGAAAGAGGCATGGGTGGGTGGGATTGGAGGAAAGCATGCAGCTCAGTGATAGAACATGACTAGCACCTAGCACCTGGTGTATGAGGGTCCCTGAGTTGGATGCCGGTACTGGGGTTAAAAAAAAAAGGAAGTACTGCTACTGTTCACAAGGTCTTAGAACAATATTAGGAGAGAATGAACAAGATGCTAGTAAAAGCTCTCATATTTCTATACCAGATTAATGATAATTACAGCAGCTAATTGAAGAAATATGCCCTGTAAAATTTGTCAGTCTTATTTCTGGGAAGACTTTTGAGATATTAATATTAGCTCAAGCCTTCCATATTTAAGAATTGAGCGAAAATGTCATTAAACTTATTAACATTTTTCAAATATTTAAAAAATATCTCAATAAGTAGTTATTGGATAGGCTGAATATATCAAATAGACATGAGATATTGAAAATTCAGGCTTCTCATTTTTTGTTCAAAGTTATAATGTTCAGCAAATTTAGCTATAGACATTTATATGTAAAAGTATTTGCCTTGCCAGTAAAGGAAATTCATGTTTTAATTTTTTATTGCTTTGTAAGTGATTCTCTATTCTTGAACACTTTTCTTATTTTTGTATGCTCTATAAATGAATCATGGTTTTGAACTTTTTAACATCAGTAATAAAAATGAAGTTTGATTGGTTAGTAGTAAAGAATGTTCTTTTCATAAAAACAATCATTTTGTCATGAAAATTCCCATTAACTGTAACCATGTTAGCAAAATAGGAACCATAAAATGCATTTCATTGTGCTTATACACTTAGCTGTGTTTTTGTGCTGATTACATACTTTTATCTAAAAAATATATATATATTTTTTGCTACTGGGGATTAAATTTAGGACCTTGCGCTTGCAAGGCAGGTGCAGTACCACTGAGCTAAATCCCTGGCTCCAAAAACTTTTATAACTGAAGAGTTTTCATCATATCTTGATCTGCCCTTGGATTTTTAAAAATAACTTAGGTGTGCATTTTAGATTTTAGGTGGATACAGTAGTCTTAGAAATGATAGAATTTCCTCTCACATATCCTATTTCATTACTTGGTTAATCTAGAGCACCAGCTAGAAGTTTATACAAATGGGTAGGCTATCATTTTTCCAGTATTTATTTCTGTAAACTAATATTGGCAGCCAGCTAATGATTTGGCCTTTTATTTCATTTGCTTTTGACTATTAGTATTTTTTTTCTTTTTTATTGAGGATATTGGTACAATCTAGGTATACAAATACAGTTACATTCATCATTGGGATTCTGTACCTTTACATAATAGGTGACTATTAGTATTTATAAGAAGAAAATTTCTAAAGGAGTAGGGGAATTGGGAGGGGTAGGGGAAAGGAAGGAAGGGAAAAGCAAAAATATGAGAAAAGGAAAAAATGGAAACAAAGTCTTTGTAGATAGGGAAGGGTAAAGGGGTGAAGGGAAGGCAGGGAAATGGGGAGAAAAATAAGAACCAAGATAACATCATGTAAAGGTACAAGATCGTAATGATGAATTAACTATTGTATACCTAAGATGTACCAATAAACTAATGGGAAAAAAAAGAAAAGAAACTATTTTGACCTCATGAATTATAAGTAATGCTTCTAACTTTCCTGTTTTATGAATTTAAAAAAGATTGCCAATAATTACAAAAAAGTTTAATTAAATATTTTTGTTTTATACTGAATAGTTTCTTTGGTATGAAAACTATAATAGTACACAGGATCCTAATGAGATAATTAATAATGTGAAATAGGAAGTAAAGGGCTAAAGGTGTAGGGAAAGTGGGAAGGGTGGGGGAAAGGTAATAAGGGAGAGGAAAAAAATATGAGAAACTTGAAAAAATGGAAATATAGTGTTTGTAAATGGGGAGGGGAGGAGGGGGTGAAGGGAGGGCAGGGACAAGGGGAAAAAATAAGAATCAAGACTTATTATGTAAAGGTACAGAATCCCAATGATGATTGTAACTGTATTGTATACCTAGATTGTACCAATAAACTCAATTAAAAAATATTGTTGTTTTAAATTATTGTTATTATTATTTTTGGTACCGGGTATTGAACTTGGGACCTTGCGCTTGCAAAGCAGGCAGCAGAACCACTGATATAAATCCTCAGACCCAAAAGACTTTTTTTTGGTACCGGGGATTGAACTCCGGGCTTTGCACTTGCAAGGCAGGCAGCAGCACCATTGAACCAAATACCCAATCCATATTTTTAAATATTTTTATTAAATATTGTCATTTTTACTATTGCTATTCATCAATTTGAGATTCTAATTTGACTGGTGATGAGAACTAGTTACATAATGCCATTTAACTGATAATTGGTCCTTGTTCCTCAGTTGAGATTGTGAATTAGTTTTTATGTATTTTCTTCCTGTATTAGTCCAGTGCTTGATTCATTCTTCAAGACCCAAGAAGAGAACAGTCCAAGGTTAGGATTTTATGTACCCTAGGCATGAAACAGCCCTGGCCACCAAGCCAGACATCAAGCTAGGATGAACAAAGGACTGTTGTTTGCTCTGCCTTTGACTGATAGGTCACCATCATCAGTAAGGTGTCTCTTTGCCCATTGCCAAGGGGGTTTGCCTTGTGTTTTTATACTGATTTTCTCTTACTATCATTTGGTGGCCATTCAGAGAATATAAAATAGTTTAAATATTAAAATGAATAAACATTTAGAAGTAGAGATTGGTTTTAGAAATTGTAGAGTGCAGATTAAAGACGTTTATGTTTTTATTTACTGTTTTAGATCCTTTGTTTTATAGGTAATAGACCACATTGATTTGCCTTTTATGAAAAGATATGTTAAGATTTGGGTTCAGGTAGAATCATGATATCATTTTTCTATTGGATTCTACTAAGAAAGGATGGAAGGTTTTAAATTTGGCTTTTATTGTATTGACCTGAGTTATGGGCTTGTTGATGCCCTGAATATTTTCCAGACCTCGGTTAAACTCCAGAGGTTTGACAGGTCTATGAACATGAACCTTCCTATTTATTTATTGATTGATTGATTGCTGATGCTGGTAGGGATCAAACCTAGGCTGTCATGCATGCTACGCAAGAGCTCTTATCTCTGACCTGTACTCCTAGATCTGGAAACTGATTGTTGAATACTATTTTGAAATTGGTCTCTTGTTTCATGTGCATAGATTTAGATGGCTCATGTTCAAGTCTCATAATTATTAACTTACTTTTACTTTCCTTATCGATTATGTGTAATGGAAAAACTATTATTTAATCACCTTGGTTCCAAAGTAAGTGTGGCCTCAGTACATTAATCTTAAAGCCTTATTTGTGAACATTATGAAATTGCAACATACTACTCAGCTGTGTTTTAAAACAGCTTTAAGCCATATCCACAAATACTCAAGTAGAATAAGATGTTCAAAAATCTTTTTGAATAAAATTAGTCTATCTAGATTCTCACTACCACCTTCTTTGAGCCAAATGAATGAAAGAGATGAATCTTAGTTTAAGTGCCACCTACTTTTCTAGGGTAGCCTTTTTCTCATGTGTCTGTTTCTGATCTTTCTAGGGTAGCCTTTTTCTCATGTGTCTGTTTCTGATCTTTCTAGGGTAGCCTTTTTCTCATGTGTCTGTTTCTGATCTGTATCAGATTCTTGGTCCTCAAGCCAACAGAGTCAAAGTCTCTTGAGTTTAGAGTTTGATGGGAATACACAAATTTACCAAGTTCTAGGTGATTCTTATATATTAAGATTTGAGAACTATTGTAAGATTATAAGTACTTTAATTCTAATAATGTTTACCCACAGGTGTGTATTTGTAAGATTTAGTTGTATGTTCACTGACTGTGGAGCCAGACTACTTGAATTTTCATCCTGTCACTTATTAGCACTGACTTTTCTCAAATCACCTGTGCCTCAGTTTTCTTATCATAAAATAAGGATGATAATAGTGTCCACCTCTTAAAGTTGTTGTAAAATAGTTCATATGTGCAAAGCACTTGTGTACAATAAATGCATGAAGTCTTTAAAATTTTCTGTTTACCTCAGCTTTATTTACCCCTTTTACAAGTACAGTAAGCATGTTTTAGTTTATTTATATAATTTTGTGACTATTAGCACTGATTATAGATTTCTGTCACCTCTAAAAGAAATACTTTGACCATTTATAATTTCTTCATATTTCTACCCTCAGATTGAATCAACCCCCCAATCTGTTTTCTGTTTCTGTAGATTTGCCTCTTCCAGACATGTAATGTTAGTGAAATCATACATATGTTTTCTTTTACGTCTGCCTTTTTTTCAGTGGGCATAATGGTTTTGAAGTTTATTATTTATTATTTTGTAGCATATATCAGTCCTTCGTTCCTTTTTGTGTGATAATGTTCTAGGGTATGGAGATCCTATTTTGTTTAAACAATCGATGAATGTTTTGTTGCTTCCACTTTTTGGCTGTTGTGAATAACACTGCTATGAACATTCATGTATAGGTCTTTGTGTGGACATATATTTTTACCTCTCTAGGGTAAATACCTATGAGTAGACCTGCTGGGTCGTATCATAATTCTGTGTTTAAGAGTTTGAGAACTTTTTGTAGTACTGCCTCTAATGTATCAGAGTTCTGATTTCTCTATATCCTCTAAACATTTCTGGTTTGTCTGGTTAGTTATATTCCTCCTAGTGGATATGAAGTGGTACCTTCTGGTTTTGATTTGTACTTCCCTAATGACTATGATGTTGGGCATCTTTTAAGGTACTTGTTAGCCATTCATGTATCTTCTTTGGAGAAATATCAGTTCATATTCCCTGCCCAGTTAAGCAGCCTGGTTATAGTGTCTTTGTTACTGGGTTGTGCCAGTTCTTTTTATGTTTTGTATATAAGCTGTATGAGTCTTAGGGATGTTGTAAGTGCTTTTGTCGTCGTTGTGGTGGTCTTCATCATCTACCCAAGCAGAAGTCTAGTGCTGCTAGACTATAAGGAAATGGATTCTCGTTCTTAACTAGTTTTGTTTGCCCTCCAACTTTGGTCGTGAGAGGGAACTTCTTACCTCTTTTAATTTTCCTATGTGTTCAGTCTGTATTGCTTTCCATGTTCTGCTCCATCAGTGAATTAGGACCCATTGTATTGGTTATTTAACTGTACTGTGTCGTTCATTCTTGTGATTCACTTTGGGTCATTTTAATCTTTTATTTACTGCTTGGTTCCAAAGGAAAAGATGGTTGGAGATTTTGATGAATTGTTTGTGGATTATTTGAGTTACTTGCCATGGTTCAGTAAATTGACATTCATTTGGCATTTCAGAAATTGTGCACCTTTGTGTATTATTCATTTCTTTGTTATTACACACCTTGTAGCCCAAGCAGGATCAAGCCTTCTTGTAGGTATGCTAATAATATTTATTGTCATAGAATAAAGTATTTGGTAAGCGTATTTTTATTTTTGGAACTGGGGATTGAATTTGCTACCTCGCGATGGCGAGGCAGGTGACAGAGCCACTGAGCTACCCCCCCAATTGTTTTCATTTTGAGACATTATAAAAGCAACAAATATGGAGATAGGATTCTAACTTAAAAGTTCCTTAGGGGCTGTTACTTGGTTTTCTTTACAATTATATCTTTAGCATCAGTGTGTGACACATTATATGCAGTGAATATTTATTGAATGAGAGATAAAACTGACTTGTAGACTGGCTAAATTTACTCTCTGAAATGAGAGCTATGTATAATTTACTATACATATCTGTATAAAAGAAGCAATAAAAGCTCTACAGTTTAATTTGATGTCAGTCAGTAAGTTTCTTCTTCTTTTTTTTTTTTTTACTGGGAATTGAACTTGGGTCCTTGCGCTTTCAAGGCAGGCCACTGAACTGCTGAGCCCCTGTAAGTTTCTTCTTCTTAAGGACTTAAAACTTGTAGCTGAGGGAGAAGTCCCAGCCTTAATCTTCTTCTAAAATAGTCTTCTTCTAGAGTCAGGGAAGTTTTGTATCTCACACTGTTCCAGGCTATCTTCTTGCTTCAAGGCCCTTATTTTAATCTAAAGTAGTCTTTTATCACTGTGTCTACACTTATTTGCAGTACCTTCTTTAAGTTGCCTTACCACTTTGCGACACAGTATTGCTTGTCTGGTTTTCAGGTTTGTGGAAGTGACTGAGTGACACTGCTCTTCTCAGGTCCCCAGCGTGAGCCTTTTTCTGACACAGCCCGATCTTTGACTGTTGTAGTGATGAGAGAATGGTTTTCCACTCCTTTATTTTGGGAAGAGTCTCTTCCTCTTACATATCCTGGTAGCTAAAAGGCATTATTATTTAATCATTTCATGGTTATTATTACCTGGGACAGGGTGTTATCTTTCATTTCTCTTAAGAGTTTTCAGGTTGATTTGTTGTTTAATCTAATACGTAGGTCCTAAAATTCCAGTTTTGATAATCCTATGTCATATTTGAAGTGTCTTAAGAATCTGTTTTTAATCCAGCCTTACCAGAATAACCTAAAACTTAATGGGTTTTTAATTTACTGCCTCTGTTGATATTACTGAGATTATTAGTATAGGATCTATGTCCAATTAGCATGTTTATTTTCTTTTCTCTGTGTCTTGCAGTAACTTGTCCATGTATAAGAGCTGCCAAATGCTCTATGATCATTTCGTTGTATTAGTAGTATTCACATTTACACCTTTGGCAGAAAGCCATCCAATTCTGGTGATAGCCTACACATGTTTCTTGTCCCTTTTCTATACCACTGTATAAATAGTCTTGCTAGGCTGAAGAGATGACATCTTTGAGCTTTTGGAAACTAGTTGCCTAAGGATAAACTGAGTTTGACTTCATTAGTGCACAAATGATAGGTTTGTATAGAGTTATTATAGCATTAATCAATTTGATGGATTGGAAAAGTGACAGAACTGAAGCAGCATGTAATATTAGTGCCTATTATTCTACAAATTATGTCTTCACCTACATTCATATGCCAGAGGAGTCATGTTATACGTTAAAAATGCAGAACCTAAAAAAAAAAAAGAACCCAACAATAGAAGGCACCTCTTTTCATGGCCTTTCTCTTGTCCTCTTAGATTAGATTGTCAAGAAATGGACTTTGGAATCTGGATTGTTTATCAGGTCATAGCACTTTCATACTGTGAAATACCTTGAATTGAATGGAATACATAGATCATCTGCCACCAGAATGACTTATCGCTGAACTTGATAGTGCATATTGCAAGTAATAAAGTCTTTATGAGACCTTAGTGAAATCATATGTGAATTTATTAGCTAGTAGTAGTTTCACCAAAAATTGTAACAGATTAACAGTAAAGATTATTGAATTTTTTGGTTGTATTATATTGGTTGATAAAGCTTCAACATAGGTAGCTGTAAGACTAATGAGAAACAGAAATAGATATGTGTTTTGGGTTTTGAATATTGTTTTTTCATGTGTATATTTCTAATATCAGTTCATGTAAGAATTATTTTATGACTTTCAAAAGTCGAAGAGTATCTGTTCCCTCTTATTAATTTTACTTTCTTAACATAAATACTTGTAAGAGTAAAGTTTCTTTTAGAATTTAAGAACATCTCGTTTGAATAAGGTAACTCTTTAACTCAGTAAAAACTAAAGA